CTTTCTCTCTCTCTCTCTCTCTCACACACACTCTCACGCTCTCACACACACTCTCACGCTCTCTCTCTTTCTCTCACACACAAGCGTGCGCTCGCGAACGCACAGTGATGAATAAAGTTGATGATTGCTCCACCACCGCCATTTTACTACGTTGTATTAAGATTAAAATATGAACGGTGCAGTGGTTGAACTTCAGGGATGGGTCGATCTTTTTTTTCTTTCTTTTCACGCCCCTGATGACCTCAACTCATCCGTAGTGGACTGTAACGATACAGACCTTATAATTCTATAGATAAGTGCAGAATTCTGTGGTACAGACCAATTATCTCTGGTATAGGCAACGTAGAAAGCCTGGTTCCCTGTATAGACTTCTCTGTTGGCAAAGAGTGAAGTAGAGGTCCATGATCGCCCACGCCAGTCGGCAAAGCACCGGATGATGACTTCTCTGTTGACATCCACCCCTTGGCGCTCATATTTATGACCTTATGTAGTTGCGAGCACTGTAAAAACTCTACTAAAACTAAAGAAGGCGTGTGTAGAGTCACCTTGCAGGACCTTTCCTCTCCCCTTGCTTTCATCATTCAGAACTAGCTAGGGTATGGTAATCTTTGTTGATAGTCGAAGCAGACTTTTTGTATTGTTGACTTTGAGGCTGTTGAGGTGAGCAGAGTAAGCCATAGCGCTCATAAGACTTTATGCAGTTGCGAGCGCCGTAAAACCTCTACTAAAACAAAAAACAAACCTCTACTAAAACTAAACTAAAGAGTAAGCCTGATTCCCTGTTTGGACTTTTCTATTGACATTTACCCCTTGATGCTCATAAGACCTTATGCAGTGGCAAGCGCCGTAAAACTTTACTAACTAAAACTAAAAAGAGACCTCTCCCTTCTGTATCTGTTCCTTGTCAGTTTGCAAGATGGACAAAGAACGTGCCCTTCAGTGGGTGATTTGTTTTGGTCGAGCAATCGAAGTACAAACACGTTACTACTGGGTGCACAAAATTGGAAAAAAACAAAAAATTAGAAAATTACAATTATATGTGAAGCATGCTGACAAAATGAGTTACTTCCTGGATTCGAACCCTCTGGAAATAGATACATCACGCTAGTAGGTGAAGTTTTTACAATTTATAAGTATGAAATAATAAATGACATGCTCTACTTACAGAATATGGCATCAATAGATAATCTACAAATTTGACCCCAGTGTCGATTTTTGGTCAAGATATCAATTTATGGATTTCAAGAAGTAACTCATTTTGTCAGCACACTTCACATAGATCTATTGTATTGATCCCAGAAGGGCAATTTGGTTAACAAATCCACTGGCACCGCGCAAATATGGCGAATATCGTCATTTTGTGGATGAAGTGCGCTCATGACCAGCTAGATCTGCTACTACTACATTTCAACATCTCCATTATACAATACATGACATGTATGTATTTCGATGGCTTAGCACAAGAAGTGACATACACATATTCCACTTTTGGTCGAAATGGAGTACGGTAGGCTAATCGATATTGGTAGTGAATGGCTACACCATAGCTTAATTCAAATCGAAATATTAATAATTAACGATATTCTGTTTTGACTGTGTTATAGTTATAGTTATAAAGTTTTCAAAATGGTCGAAATTTCAAACTCGTTTTTCTCGAAACTGGAAAGTGGATATGCATTGTACATGTAGTCACTTCTTGCTCCCAGCCGTCTTATCTTATCTCCATCCATCCATCCGTCTGTCTATCCACCCTTCCATCCATCTATCTGACTATCCATCCATCTATCCATGCATCTCTCTATCAGTCTATCCATCCATCCATCTCTATCAGTCTATCCATCCATCCATTCATCCATCCATCCATATGTCACGTGGGAGAAAACCCGTGGGACAAAGGGACAGCAGATCTTCAGAGGAAGAACCCCCTACTTCAAGTTCAAGCAAGTGTTTCGGCCTTAACTACCTCAAACCTGACTGACATTAGCTGACACTCCGAAGAGGCTGGGCCACACTCAGGTCCTGACTCCCCAGTGCTTTACAATTACTATTACTGCTGGGGTTTGGTTTTTTTCCCAGTTTGGAGTTGATGGGGGGGGGGGGGGGGGGGTTGCTGGTCGAGGATCGAACTTAAGCGGTTTCAGGGACACTTTCGGATCTTCACTTCAGTCCGTAGTTTGTGCATAGCCACATGCAATATTGTCAATTACTACAAATTTACTGGACTTTTGGTGAAATTTTCTTATTTATTTTCTGTTCTATTTTTAGCGGCCTAGCTTTCATTCCGTTGCGTCCAAAGCAAGCTCCAACTTTTCTCTGCTATTTCTGTAATGCGTTTGATGGCTGCCTTTCTTTTCTGGCCTATTACTTAAGTTTATGGCCTAGTTTGCCCCAGCAGTGTGAATGTTGAGGCTGCGACAAACCCTCGCCCATCCACTTCTACTGGCATGACTTTGGCGCTATAGATTCTAACTCTTTCCTTGAAGTAAATTCGAGAGATCCTCTTATTTTGCCAACTTGAACTTGAAATGACGTTGTGCATCTATCCTACTTTCGTATGGAGCAGTCAGCCCGGTTAGGACGATCTTGACAAACAGTTACTGAACAGAGAACGATATCTGGTTTGAGACCTGTTCTCTTGTGGGAGGGTAGTTCCGCCACTCTGGGACATGCAGCTACAGTAGAGTTCCCAATTCCCAACTAGAAAGTTTTCACTCCTCGAGAGGCAGGGCGCATGATTTCTTCCAACTAATCCAATCCATTTCTTCTTTTTCCCTGCTGTGAAGAATGGCGGGTGCTCTGGTGCGGTTTGCTCCTTCTTTCCTATATAAAGTCTATCTCCCCTCATTCTTTCTGTGTTTGTTACTCTCTTGTAACACCTCTAATCTTCGGCACTTATATGACCTTATTGGGTTCCAAGTGCCGTAAAACAGTTACTAAAAATAATAAATCTCCGGCACTTATATGACCTTATTGTGTTGCGCAAGTGCCGTAAAACTTTTACTAAAACTAAGGAGCTTCTCCGTTGTGGGTGTTGGCCTCCAGGCTGCAGAAGATTGCGAGGACCAGCTCCTTACAGGACTCTGTTGTGTCGTCACGTGTAGCAAGAGATACTTGGTCGCTTTTGAGAAACACTGAAAGTTTCGAAGAGAACTTCGTATTAGAAATGGAAGTATTTTAAAATGTGAAGAATGCAACCCGGGGGTTCAAAATGACCCCAGGGCGTACAGATAGGGTTAACTATCTATCACTGAGAACGAAAAAGAGGAAATTCCTACTCGTAAAAGCAAGCTTAACGGGTAATTTTAGAGATAAGGGTTTGGGGGATCAATATTCAAATCAATAGAAGCGGCTGAAAGTTGAAATAATCATCAGTTCA